TATTATTATTATTATTATTATTATTATTATTATTATTATTATTATTATTATTATTATTATTATTATTATTATTATTGATATGCATTCAAATCAAATCAAATACTAAAGAACTTGTTTAGTAGATTATTATATATATATTTCCATTCCTGTAACATATATTTCATACACAACACAACACTACACTCAAGAGACAAATATATATATACATACACAAAGGTAAAGTGCGAGCTGGCTTCATGCACCTTGTTTTTATTTGTAGAGATTTTAATTCCTGGGTGTTTGATAGAGGAAAAGGGACAATAATTAATTATTAGCAATATCAAGAAACAGTTTATTCTCATCATTTTTTAATATTCGTTATATATGATTACTATATATGTATATAATATTATGGATAATAACTTGACTTTTTGGGGGGGGCGGGGAAGATGCGAAATAAATATATGCGCTTCGAAGTCCAAGAAATTGGTTATATAATTAAGTATACATGTATTTGCTTAATCATATGTCACGAATTTTTTTATTTGTTTTTACGAAATATATTTCATTATAAGCTTATCGATGATTCAAAACGAAAAGAAATAATCTATTTGATTACTGACTTTCATCAAATGACGATGACAACAATTGTATACCATAATCGAGGCGTATTCTCTCATTAGAAATGAAAGAAGGACTGCCGACACAAAGATCATTTCCAGTTCCATTTTTCGGGAATGCAATCACGTCACGTATGGAATCAGTCCTTAGAATAACTGACATTAGCCTGTCAAAACCTGCGTAATAATTAATAAATTATCTTGATTAATCTTAATCAACACTAAATGTAAAAATCTAGTAGTAATAATTCTCCCACCTAAAGCAATGCCACCATGCGGCGGACATCCACTTGCAAGTGCATCGATTAAATGCTGGAAACCAGCTTGTTTAATGTCTTTTATCTGTTGTTTTTTTTTTAAAAAAAAAGAAATCAATGAATCATTACACTTCTGTTGGATGCATGTATTTAATTTATTACCTTTAATACATGTTCTAAGATATATTTTTGTAACTCAGAAGAATGTACACGAATAGAACCACCACCTATTTCTACACCATCTAGGACTAAATCGTAATGTTGACCTCGAGCCTAGCATTACAAATAAAATGAAAAAAGAAAAATAGAAATTAAAGATAGATCCAAATAAAATAAAAGTATTTTTACTTGTTCTGGATTTTCAAACAATAGGTTAATGTCGTCAGGTTCAGGTGACGTGAATGGATGATGAGTGGGTGTTAGCAATCCAGTATCTTGATCTCGTGTGAATAACGGGAATCGTTCAACCCAGAGAAAATTTGAAAGATTAGGTTTAAATTGAAGTAAGCCTAATTCACGTATAAACTGAGATATAAATATAAGCAAAACTAAAAATTCAAAAATACATAACATAAATATAATAATACTTTTGCTTAATAGTAAAGTTGCAGCATTTGCACGTATACGGCCCATCGTAGTCCAGCTAGTACCCTTGAAAACAAGGGAATAAATGATCATGCAATTATTAATGCTTCAATAGAAAACTATAATGTAACTCACTGATAACCTAGCGTCACTCTTGCTCACAACTACTAAGTCACCAATCTCTATATTTAACTCCTCTGTGATCTTCTCTTGCATGAATGTGGCATTAATCGATTGTCTTATAATATTGGATTTGTTGATCCATGTTCCAATATTATTTTCGTTAATTTTGACAAAATTCGATATCTTTGATGAATTAATGACTATTAGATCAAATTTGAATTATTTAAAGGAATCACAGAACTTACAGATGAATCTGGCTTTTTTTCTTGCTTAAATGATTGATTAGCAAGCTGTTCGATGCTTTTGATTTCTGCACCAGTTAATGCACCTCCTTTTTTTATTACAAGACATTCAACTTTGGATTTCGATTGGTCAAGGATGTCAGACAGGTAATTAGAAATATCTGAAATCTTATTAAACAACACATTTTTATAAACGATAAATAATGTAATCTAACAGTAGTGGATAATGTCTCAAACCTCAAGTTCGTAACGTGTATCCGGCTTGTCGGAACCAAACTTGAATAAATGCACACAGTCACATTCAAATATAAAAAATTGGAATCAGCATTTGATGGGATTAATATATTACCCTACGCATAGCATCTTGATATGAGATTCGCGGAAAAGATTCATTAGGAGTTAATTCAATTCCAACATCTTTCCAGATTCGAGCCATTAGCCTTTCAGTAAGCAAAGTAACATCTGCGGTATTCACAAATGACATCTCTAAATCAATCTATAGGTTTAAGAACATTATTAACTTTTAAATATTGAAAAAAAGGCATAATAATAACATTTGCATATTAAAAAACCAAGTAATAATATGCTTACTGACTGACTTGTGTGAATTCTGGCTGTCTGTCTGCCCTTGAATCCTCATCACGAAAACACTTAGCAATTTGATAATATTTATCAATGCCACCGGCAATTAATAATTGTTTGTACTTTATATAAAGATATAATCGTTCATGAGAAAAAAGATTCATATAATTAATTAGAACAAAGAAAAACCAGAGTCCATTCATTTACTTGCTGTGGACTTTGCGGTAACGCGTAAAAAGAACCAATAGTACGAGTTGGCACAATGAATTCTCTTGCGCCCTCTGGTGTTGATTTAAATAGTAGAGGGGTTTCTACCTCCACAAATCCTGAAACATTTTAACTGACTGTTAATTAATCACATTGCCTAATTACGCATTTGATACATACAAATTAAAAATACACAGACCTTCGCTATCTAAAAAGTTACGAATTATCGATGATACACGTGAACGAGTACGAAGATTCTTTTGCATAATATCACGACGTAAATCGATACACCTATTTCTAAGTCGAATCTCTTCATTAAGCTAGTCAGTCAATTAAAATATATTTCAAGTTAATATATTTGTGTTTTATGTTATCTATCCAGTTGGTAGCCCTTTTAGACAATTAATTAATTAACTTACTGATTTTTTATCTGTAGGATAAAAAGGTAATGATTTCGCGGGATTTAGACAATACAATTTATCAATCTGTACTTCTATCTCACCAGTAGACATGCGCTAAAGAAAAAAAAATTCTTAATTTTGTAATATTCAAAAATGGCATAAAATTTCAAAACCATACTTCATTACAAGTTTCTTTGGATCTTTCTACGACAATTCCTTCAACGCAAATTACACTTTCGATAGACAATCCGGTTAGCTTTTCCAAAAACCCATCATCATCCACATTGTTGACTGAATTTTTATTTTTTGATGCTTTATATACAAGTTGTGTAGTTCCGTATGAATCACGAATAGGCAGAAATATCAATTCCGTGGAAAATTTTCTGTTGATTTTTAGACTAGGTTAAAAATAATCCAATTAAAGAATTAATTTTTCTGCTAATTATCTTGCCGTAATTTCTGTGCCCAGCCACAAAGTACAACGCGTTCCCCCACGTGACTCTTTCGAAGAGCACCACAGTTGTGATTCTTTTTAGGGAAAGTGGCAATTATACCTGATAGAAAATTTAGTAATTAAAATAAGATCGGAACGAAACTTTAAATTGATCTAGTGCGTTAGAACAATGCCAAAAGCGTAAATACCATTGAGATATGACTTCGTTTCTAAAGTCAATGCACGTTTTAATGGCGTTGTAGAGTGTATCGGTGCAATCTGTGTTTTTCTAATCAATTTTAACGATGGAAATCTCAAATAAATATAGATAGATTTAATTTCTCGATATCTATTATTAGGTCTATTTAAAGACACCAAAAATTCTTTAAATATCGCTGCTTTGCCTCGAATCGAAAACATCTTAAGATCTACCTACAAGAAATCTATATTAGTAGGCAAGGGGTATAATAATTGGGGGTACTTTACATGGAAATAATGGTTTTAACCGGAATTACAACCTGTCTGACCAGAATTACTACTTATGTATTAGACAGACCTGGGTACATAACACCAGGGTACGACAAAATTTCTAAATTATGACTCATTTTTCAAAAAAATTGGCTTACGTGTAAAAGTTGTCAATGATACACAGAAAAAACAATGATTTCAAAAACCACTCCAGTTCGCTCCGCAATACATTGCATCGCGTCTAACTACTCTAAGTCTATCTCTTCAAAGCACACTAATTGCTTTTTGGAACGAAACAAAAAACTAATAATATATCAAAACTTTCGATGCATAACGTCCGGATCAATTAATTGTCAAAGTAGGCACTCAGCTAAAACTAGATATGCCTCGTTTTTTTCACACTTTGCAAGTAGGCTTAATATAATATTACCATTTCTCTTATCAAGGGAAAATTCATGAAGCGTTAATTTCCTAATTCATATAACATGATTTAATAATTTTCGTGCAGAAGTTTCACCGGATCCTAGGTTTAGTTCTGCTTTTGGGAAAATACATCAGAAATATGTAAGCTGATTTTTTTGGTTTTTTTCTTCGTAAGAGCTATTATTAAAATCTTATAATTTTTTTCGAAAAGCGATTATTTCACGTGACAGGTTAACGAAGAGTTATTTTGTGATTGGAAAAGTTATTGGATCAGTATTTGTTTGGTTGATTGAGATATTTTTCATTTTTCTTCCACAACGCTTATAGTGACGAATCAATCACCGAAAAAAGATTTCTACGAGACACTTGGAGTACCAAAAAATGCTTCTCAATCTGATGTAAAGCAAGCTTATTATTCAGTAGGATCAATATATACTTTATTTCTGTTGTATTTTCAAAAAGAATTTTATATAATTTTAAGCTTATTTGATAGCTTGCCAAAAAATACCACCCTGACACCAATAAAGATCCTTCAGCAAAAGAAAAATTTGTGCAGATACAAGAGGCGTACGATGCAAGTATTGCTATCATTACTATATACTTGCCTCTTTAATGTTAGCCAAGCTCTTAAATTATAAAATACATCTTTAATATCTTAGGTATTATCAGATGAGGAAAAACGTGCGCAGTATGATCAATATGGGCACGAGTTTTCAGGTATAACACTTATTCTAATTATAATAGAGTAATATGTGTTTCTTATTTTTGATTAATGTACATAAAAAAAGAACAACCAACGGGTGCAGGAGGTTTCACAAGTAGTCAAGATATGGGAGGCTTTAATTTTGCTCAAGGAGGGGCTGGTGGATTCACAAGTGGATTCGCAAATACAGATCTATTCGATCGGCTCTTTGGGTCTTTTGGTGGACCAAGAGCAGGCGGATTTTCAGCCGGTTACGGACAAGCTTTTACACCTGGAGAAATTTTCGAGGTATATACGGTTTTTCAAATCAACATCATCGTCTGTTTTTTAACTCGACTAATCCTAGTAATTTTACAATATAATAATAAATTATTAGACATTCGTGGATATATCTTTTATGGATGCAATTAAGGGGACAAAAAAAAAAGTTATAATCGAGCCAATAACCTTTTGTAAATCTTGTAAGGGGTTAGGCACAAAAAGCGGCAAGAAACCAGAAAGATGTCCCGTATGTTCTGGATCTGGTATGCAACATGTGAGCTTATCGAGTGGCTTCCATGCACAAACCATATGTAATTCATGTCGAGGCAAAGGCACAAAAATTTCCTCAGGAAATCGATGTCCTACATGTGGAGGTGCTGGACGAGTGATAGAAAGAAAAACTGTAGATATCGATATTCCAGCTGGTAAATATTTACTTGCACTTTAGTTTTATAAAAAAAAATCCAAATTATAGACCACAACTCCAAAATTTGTTGTAATTTAGGTATCGAGCATGGGATGAGAATAAGAGTACCTAAACAAGGTAATGTACATCGCGATTATGATGGGCCGCCGGGTGACTTGCATGTTGTTGTCAATGTCGCGCCTTCTCCATTATTCGAGCGCAAAAATCAGGATATATATTATAACGCGAGCATCCCGTTCTACACCGCACTCCTTGGCGGGTTTATTCGAATTCCGACTGTGGACGGAGATGTTGAACTTAGGGTTCCACCGGGTGCACAGCCCGAACAACAAACAAGGCTGAAATCGCGTGGTGCTCCAAAATTAACCTCGACTGAGCGTGGGGATCAGATAATTACATTTAAAGTGAAATTACCAAAGTATATAACATTTATTCGTTTTTTTATTTATATATTTGAAATGAATTAATTCTAAATAATATTTTTTTGTTAAATTAGGATATTAACACCGAAACAGCGTGAATTAATAGAAAAGTTCGCAACATTAGCAGAAGGACACAATAGTAAAAAGTCCGCTTCATCATCTTCTTATACGTCAACCTCTTCCTCTTCTCAATTCTCATCATCATCATCATCCGACTACTCATCCCCAAACATAGGCAAAGGTAGCAACAGCAGCAGCAATCAAAATGGAAATTTTTTCAAAACTGCATACGAGAAACTAAAAAACGCGTTTCGACGAAAAGACAAAAATTCAACGAATATCTAAAAAAGACTCCATTCCCTAAAAAACAAGTCATCAAGTATAACAATAATAATCCTAGAAATGAAAGATGACCTGCGATGATAATTATGATTTTTCTACTAACTTATTATTGTAGCGTTTCCAGGATAATAATCAATCAAATCAATTGATCGTGTAATTAATAAAAACTAACATATTAAATTTGTGCCATTGCCCAAAGATTCAGCGAAATTATTATGATAATAAATCATCAATTAATTTAGGTGCGGAACAATATGAATATCAAAATCATCATCGCAAAATAATTAGCCTTTTTAGGATATTAAGCGAACACATGTAAATATCGTTATCGTTATTCTACTCAAAGTAAGCAATAAGAGATCCGTTGGGATTATTTATACAGTGAAACGACACTTTTAACAACGTTATACTGCCTGCTTTCCTCCTTTTTTGCACACGCATACACATACACAATACAAATAATCCTTAGTTGCAATTCACCAAGTCTTACCCTCTGTGGGGGTTAAGCATTTAGAGAATAACAAATAATATATAGAAAATTTTTAAGCTAAAAAAAAACCTGTAGAGTTTCTTTTCGATAAAGCTTCATTACACTATTACTCGAGAAATTTTCCGGAGACGGTTTTTCTTATCAGACAAAATTATTAAAGTGACGTAACGTGAAAAAGAGCACAAATAAATAAATATAAAAAAAACAAAATGTCAACTCATGATAAACTTGGAACTACTTCAGAAAAAGGTCAACGACTCGCCAAAGCAAAATTTTCAACACAAAACCGAAATCGATTACCCTTTCTAGAAGAGGTTCTATATCGAAAGACAGCACCACCTGTCTGTCTTTATAATTTTTATCTTTTTATGAGAGATAGAGAACATGCCGAAGAATATTTGGACTTTTGGCTCGATATCGCCGAGCATGAAATGTTGTGTAAACATTTCATGAGAGATTTGAGAAGAACGGGAATAGATGTTAATTTAGAGTATCCAGAGTTTGTACAATACAAAAGTACCAAGGAAAAAAATCCTTTGCATAGTAATTCAAGCACCGAAGGTGTTGGAAGCGTGAAAAGAAATCTAAGTGCTTCTTCTCGTGGTTCTGATACATCTCTTACGAGTGGTGCTTCATCACGCGCTCCTTCACCAATAACTAATCTTGGGGTTCCAAATTACGCAATAGATATTCCACCGCCGGGTGGCAATGCAGATAGAAATCCACGATATCGAGATTCAGTTCGATCGAATACCACGGGAAATCTCTCGTTTGTTGGACAACGACCGATAACGCGAGATGATATAAAATTTTCCGCGGATCGTATTTATTATCGATATGTGGTAGCACAGTCCGAGAAAGAAATTAACTTATCGGAACCGATTCGTGAACGAATGCGAATTGCAATAGAGAAGAATCATCGAGATGATCCAAATGTGTTCCAAGAGGCTAAAGATGAAGTAATGGAATTGATGCGGTTAGATCCGTTTCCGCGGTTTTTACAAGCACGAGCTTATGGAAATATGACTGTTTTACAGACGATTATACGATTGGGTTTGGGTTTGTTTTGCTTATTCGTAGGATTCTCTGTGGAGTTGTCTTTAATCTTTTTAGACGAGAAGCGTTTATTAAGACTTTGGGTGAGTATATTATTCATATTCTTCGGTGTATGATGAGATGGCATACTAAAATATAATTTATTAATAAAACAGGGCTTCATTCCAATATTTTTCGGAGTATCAAATCTTTTTGCCAATCAAACAGAACTTAGTCCATTGTTTGTCTTATTAAAAACTAGGTATGCAAATTAATTATATTGATGCTGGAATAACATATTCATTAAGATAGACGAACGACATTAATTTATTTTAATTTTATAATTTTTAGTGAAACAACATTCTTAAAATTTCAAATAATCAGAGAATTGTATATTTATAAATTACAAATAAGAAAAGGCATACGAGTATTCTTGGGAAGCTTACTTGTATCGCTGTTTGTTACTGGATTTTTCATTGCACTACCTGGGCATCGTCTATAATAATAGTTGAATGGTAGAATCAAAATTTTTTAATGAAACAAAAAATAATTTTGGATTCTTTGTTTGAATTCGAAGATAAGAAAATGCTGGAATACAAAAATATTGTCAATTCCTTTTGCATCTATTCTTAATTAAGTATGAAGTGATGTATGCGCGTTGGCTGTAATGTAATTAACTTTGCTAGAATTTCGTTCCAAATTATAATAATAATCATTGTGTAAAATATCTTCGATTTATATAGAAATTATCTATTATTAATTATTAATAAATAGACTAATAATCGAATTATCGTTAGTTAACAGGCTCAAAAACATCCTATGATTTAGGATTTAAAATAAATAACCATTACAATGAATACATTTTTGCTTGACCAATACTGAAGCTTCGAAAAAATATAATACAACTCGCATATTGGAATTTTGATGCTGATCCTATTTAATATACTAATCAGTAATGTTCATATAACTATTAAATCAAATATAATAATTAAGCATTAATAATTAATTCAAGGCGCTGGTGTAGGTGCAGAGAAAGGAGCTGGTGTAGGTGCAGAAAAAGGTCCTGGAGTTGGAGCTGTATAATTCGAGGGTGTATTAACTCCCGGAGTTGCAGCAATAAAACCAGGTGTATCAGGTGCGGGTGTTGGTGCTGTGAAGCTTGTAGTAGAATCGGTAGCTGGACTTCCTGGATAATCTGATGAGTAGGCTGGAGTTCTGGATCCATCAGCCCATCGTGGTGTTTTACTTCCGGAATCCCAGGCTGGTGTTTCAGATCCGTCAGTACCCCAGGCTGGAGTTTTGCTTCCAAGATCCCATGACGGTGTTCTTGATCCATCGTTCATGTGTATAGCAGGTGTTCTTGACCCATCGTTTAAGTGTATAGCTGGTGTCCTTGAACCATCACTGATAAGAGGATTTGGAGACATTGTTGAATTCCATGCCGGAGTTCGAGATCCTGACCATTGAGATGAACGATCAGGGCGCCAAGTAGATCCAGAGAATGCAGGTGAGCCATAGTTACTGCTACCACCTCCATATTCTAAAGAGACGGGTCTACTTCCACCATTTTGACTATAGAAAGTAAATAAAATTTAGTACTCGTATTTGTTTTGTAATTAAATGGCGAAGATATTATCTCGTTAGACACATACTCTCGCATTTGTAATTTAGACTTTTCCACGTTTATAATTTTAGAATTAGTGTGCAATTCGACTCTAGCCGTTGAATCCGAAGTTTCTTTCACTATCCCAATATAACCTTTATAAGGGCCATGAATAATTGTCACAGTTTTGTCTATCAGTTCATCTCGACGTCCCCTACCACCGCCAAAGTGACCTCCCCTGCCCCGACCTCGATTTCCAAAAGAGGGGTTACGCGTTGGAGGTGGCGGTGGTGGAGGGAGTCTTTGATTCATTGAAGCTGCTATTGCGGGATTTAATTTATCATAAGCAATTGTACCCTAATAATTAGAAAGGAAAATATTATTTTTAAATTTAAATTTACTATTAAAAATTGATTAATTTTATCAAAAATACTCACAGATTTTGTACTTTTATTTAATAGTGATTTAAATTTAGTGACAAATACACCTCCGTTTTCCACGCCCGACCGATTCTTTACAAAGGCAAAATGTTTGAATAAGTGTAACAAACTACCTTCTCGGAACTAAATTGAATATAAGCAGAAATGTTAATGTAAAGAGCTTTATACGCAAACACAAGAAAATGTTACTTACGTCACCATCAATTTCTTCGACAAAGTCACCTGTTTTCAATGGATTTCCTTTAGCGTCAGTAACTGGCTGCTTTTTAGATTCGACTTTGTATAGAATTTGACTTGCTTCAAGACTTGAGAGTTTTTCATTTTGATCTAATATTCGGAATATACCGGGTTCTACATGTACAATAACTCCGACAGAAACTTGACTATTTTTTGGTTAAAAATATTATGGATTAATAATTAAGAAGCAGTAGAGACACGAAAATTGGAAATTTCGTTAAATACTTACTCTATTTTGACTAAGTCGTGTAATTCATATTTAGATAATGTAGTATTGTTACTACGAGTTATCTCTGCAGCTTTTCTCAAGTCCTTTGAAAAGACCGTAATCTTTTTTATTGTTTAAAAATCAATAAATTAGTTTTGTAAAACTTTATCAACTGAAAAAATATCAATCACTTACATTTTCATTGGTGCTATCCGAGACTATTGTAACAATAGAGCCGGAAATGCTAACCACCATGCCAGTTACATTTCGATGTTTGCCATTCAACACTTTCACATGATCACCAACAGCAAACTTCTTTTGGAGTTGCGTTATTTGCTCTTCCATCTGACGCCCAAAAGCTCCAACAAAATATACAATATTTTTTTCGATTCTCTCTATAATGCCTGATCTTTTGGGGAGATTTATGGTTTCGACTTCCTCGCCTATTTCGAAATCTGTCCTCAAGACCATAGCAGGTAGAGAAGTTTCGGCCAAAGTTTTTGATACTTCTTCGTCATTGCCGGCGGCATGGAATTGGGAGATTTCGTCCATAGATGGGCTTGTCATTTCCTAAAATAAATTGTGCGAACTTAGAAATACGCAAAATGTTATTACGAGAGATTGATAAATTGAAAATAAATAAAATACCAAATTCGTGATTTTAATGTCACGTTCAATGTATCCACGCCTAGATTCAGATGACGAATAACTAGGTTTTTTTCGTTTTCCTCCAGGCATTTTGCTATCATCGTCTTTTAAAGCGCGTCGAATCAGTTTGACTTTACAAGAATCACCGGATTCTGCAACAGCTACAATCTGAAAAATTTATTAAATGTAAATCATAAATCTTATAAAAATAACGTTTCTTTTTATCAATGAATACCTGTGCCAAGTCTCCAATGAATTTTCCTTTCTTGACTCGAACCCAACCACCAACAACCAGATCGACTTGTTTTTTTCTTACATCGAAAACTTGACCTCTCTCATTCAATGGCACCAGTTGTATTTTAGATGCATACAAGTTGTTGACGTTTGTTACAGCCTGTGTATGTGTGAAAATAATCTTAAAAATCTTATTCCGCAAAATTAAGAAATATCAAAGCAACCGTACCCTAATAACGTGTGCAAGTTGCCAAGCCTCCACATAAATATAACCTTTCAGCGACTCACGATAAGACACAGAAAGTATCTCGAGAGGATGTTGAGAATATTCATTTTCTACAGATTTTTTCATGAAATAGCATACAATTTCTTTTTCCTTTCCAGGCTATTAAACAAAAGAAATAATAAAAATTTTCAATATAAAAGTAGTCTAATATAAAACGTGAATCTGAAATACTCGAGATCTTAATTACAGACCTTGCACTTCAACACCCAAATATTTGGCTGATGTACATCCGGAATTTGCGCGAAACTCGGCAAATCTGTTCCTGTAGCTCTTGTGACACGCTTTCTACCGTGACGAGATTTCAATTCAGAAGCTAGAGCCTCCGGATCAAAGTCCTCTTCCTCGTCTCTTCGGCGATTAAGCTCAAGATGACGTGATTGCATGTAGTCAATATCTTGAGCATCTTCAGTCTCATCTTGTGCAATGAATTCTTTGATAATCGAAAGTATAGAATTAAAATAGAGTGTGTGCATTAGTAAAGAAATTGTTTACTGAAGTATTATGGAAGAAAACGGAAAAAATATGTCGTAATTAGTAATTACTTTCTGAGCCAAATAATTCTTCCTCCTCGTCTTCCTCCTCCTCCTCTTCGTCAACTTCGGCCTCATCAAGGACCCACCTGTTACCTGGTTCCTTACGACGCTTCTTATGCTAAAATAAAAATCACAATAAATTTTAGTTAGAGAAATTTTTACAAATAATGGATCTATGCTCGAATTCTTCTTTACCTTCTTTCCGTCTTCCTCATATTCGTCGTCCTCGTCTTCGTCCTCTTCATCCTCCTCTTCTTCGACCTCTTCTTCCTCGTTTTCTACTTCACCAGCTTCTTCCTCAACAAAAGACTCAAAAGACTCATAATCTCTCTTTTGAAGTTTAGTGGTTTCTTCACCACCGAAAGCTTCTTTCCCCTCTTCCATGTAATCGTACTCGGATTGCATTTTTAATGAAAATTCAAATTTGGCTCTTTATTTACACTGCAGAGTTTAAAGTTAAAACCCGGAAAAGTTGGATAAAAATTTGTTTATTTGGTTTTTTGGCCAGCATTAAGAAATTAAGCCATAACTCAACCCAAATCACGTGACTAATAAACATTAATACAGTGATATCTCCCCGACTATTGAATACATATAAAAATGACTTGCAAGATTTAAGATAGATGTGAATATTAAATATTATGGTGAGATTAAAAGTAGTGATTAATAAAAATTTTCCAAAAAGCTCAGTTACTTACAAAATTTGTTGACAAAAAAAAGAACATATTATTCTATTTAAATATTTATTATTTTATAGTTTGTACAAGAACACTTAAAAGTTTAATATTTTTAGCATTATGAATATTGTGATGAATTGAGAATTGAGTGATTTTTACATCATTGGATTTGTATTAAATGACATAAAAATCACTTAATTCTAATCATTAAATAATGAAATATTCTTATTCAAAAATCATAATAGAGAAAATATTATAATAAAGATAAATATTGAGAATATTTCATGATCTAGAAATCAGAATTGAGTGATTTTTATATTATTTAACTCATCTTAATAAGATGAATTGAATAATATAAAAATTACTCAATTCTAATTACTAGTTTATGAGATATTTCAATTCACCACAATATTTATATTTTTCATAATACTCATATTGTTACTGTTTCTGTTGGTTTTATTATCTTTTAAATATAAATCATGTGTTCTTCACATGTTTCAATCAGGTAGGAGAGTTATTAAAGATTTTATATGTTTTAAGTAATTAAGATTGTGAGAGACTAATTTAATAAAGGTAAGTAATGACATGTTTATTTTGTTGAACTGCTAGAATGAGTTCAGAAATCTTCTTTTTAATTCAAATAATTTTAATTATTAAGTAATCTTCTTTTATTGATTATCTTTTAATAAAATTACCTTCTTTTTTTATTAATTTTAGATAATATTAACTAACTTCGTAATATAATAATGAGAGATTAATTATGTTAAATAAAAGATATCACTTGTTACAGATGAGAGATAGTTATTGTTATTTGATTTTTAAATATTAAAGTTATTTTTGATTAATATTATGATTACAAAAAGTATCCACTTGATGGTTATACATCACTCACTCTAATATTACATAAATTTCACCATTAATATTAATCAAATTTGATTATGTAAATCGATTAATATGTGTTTTTTATACTAATAATAATAATATGAATTAAATATAATTAGTATGAATTATAATTAATATAGAATGAGATAATATAAAGATAGAATGAAATAGAATAAAATAATATAAAAATAATATGAAATATAATAAGAATAGAATGAAATAGTATAAAATAATATAAAATATAATAAAAATAGAATGAAATATAATAAAAATAGTATGAGTAAAATACAAATAATATAAAATATAATTTACAGATTACATATAAATCAATTATCCAATCAAAATAAACTATGAAAAGTCATGTGATATTTCAAAATTTATATTACAATAATATTTATCTTATATTATTATTCTCTTTTACATGAACCAATATCAAATATTTTCAGCTTTCTGAATAATAAAAAATATTTTAACTTTATTTTATTTTATATTAATAATACAATACAATGCTTTTTAATAAATAAAATTATCAAATAAAACCTAAACAAAAGTGATTTATATATTTTGAGATATTAATTAAAACAGAAAAAAATATTTGCAAAAATATTTTTATTCAAAATTTATCTTGATGATATTTTTTTCAGAGTTGATTACTCAAAATAATATTTCAATTATCTCTGTTAGAGTTTTGAAAAAAAAGTCTGATTCAGTTTGAGCTTGAACTAAACTTAAATTTAACAAAAAGTCCAGTTCAAAAATTTGAACCTAATTAAAAAAGTCTGATTTGAGTTCAGTTTGAACTTTAAAACTGCTTTAAATCTGATTAAAAATTCAGTTTGAGTTCAAGTAAATATTTGTTAATATTCTAAGTAAAGTTATAAATCTTAACATAAGCTATAAATTAATATAAAATAGTTATTATTAATAATAATTATTCAAAAAGTTATATAATATTTATGATCAAATTTAATAAACATAAAAATTAAAATACTTTAGTTATTACTATATAAACTTTTAATTTTTACTAAATATTATAAATTATACTTATAATTAAAGCTGTAATTCATGTTTAGAGCTACAAATTAATATATAATACTATATATTAATCTTTAATCAAATTCAAATCAGACTTGAACTTGTATTATAATTCAGCTTAAGTTCAATTTGAACTTTGAATCTTCAAATTGAACTTGAATTCAAATAAAAGTTTGGTTTGATTCAGTCTATAAGCACATTAATCTTTATTATCATCTTCATTATCAAAAAGAAAAATTTTCTATATGTATATAGCTCAAATAATGAATAAAAAAATGTTAAAAGATAAAAAAGTTTCTTAAATTTGGATTTACAAATTATAAATTTATCAATAATATTGAATTAAATATTAATTTAAAAAAAATTAACTTAAAATCTTATTGGAATAATAAAGTAAAAGCATAATCTCAAAAGTTATAATTATTTATTATAATCAATTCTGCAAATTTATATTAATGGAGCTTTCAAAATACTCAAAGGTATTTATAAAATTTAAGAAATATTCAAAGGGAAACTTCCAATATCTTAATAATAATTCAAAGTATTAATAATACTTTATAACTTTAGACTGAATATAAATTAAAGTATAACAAGTACTTATAAAATCACTTAAAGGTTGATAACAGTTGTATTCTTTAACATAATAACTGGACTGCTAAAAAGAATTCTCAAAATCTCAATGTCAAATATAATGTATGTATTAAAAACATCTTTAAATCTTTGAAGTCAGAATATAAGATATGATATTCATATTATCAGCAATATAAAATCAAAAATTAGTGTATGAACAATATATTATTAGTAATATAAAATCAAAGGTAAGTTTATGAGCAATGTATTATTAGCAATATAATCTCAAAGATAGATTTATGAATTATAATAATAATTCCTTTATTTAATATAATGTTCAATA